TGCATTCTCTAACCTGAATAATTTTCAATAACTTTCTATATGATATAAATCAACTGTGTATAATTACTTGCTCATTTGACACCATTCCAATTTTTTTCAACTAGTTATAAAGCATTTGTGTGAGCACACACTCAAATTTTCATGTGTTTGCTAGATAAAATGGATTTAATTTGATACTTGGTTCCAAGTTATTGGGAATATTTATAGTGTATGTCTAGTGCTATCTGAAATAAAAAACCTAGATCCCACAGAAATAAAAATCTGAAAATAAAATGGAATTACCAAAGAGAAATGTCAAAAGCTCTTCTTTTCTGCCTCTGTTGACATTTTCCCTATATATTGTTACTATAACAACATGTGTTATAGTAATAAGAAGGTTGAATGAAATGGAAAGGTGATGTAAAAGATACTTTCTCTGTACAGGAGTCTACAGAATTGGAGAAAAGGTCTAATTCTATAAATTAAGCTGGGATGTGCAATTTTCAGTTCCCAGGATGCAGTAACCATTCATATATCTATCTTCTTCACATTAATTCAGAACTGTACTGGCATCACAACTCTTAATGCGACCAACTTCTTGGAAATAATAGCGCCTATGAGACAATTATGTACAGAATTGCTGTGGAATGACTGCTTCTTTGGGCATTAGCAAGGCTCATAAGAGGAAGTACCATATTGTTTAGTGATGAAAAGTTTACCAATAAGAGTCAGAAAAAGGGCATATTTCGGGTCCAAAGAGTTCATCTGTTAAGTACATTAAACACATAATAAGGACAAATTAAAAGGTAATATATTTCAGGTGAATAAATTACCTATATTTTCTCCTAGTAATACAAACTTAAGCCCCCAATTTCAATGAATATTTTTACCAACATGCCAATGGAGATGGAATAAGAAAAGGATGGATATATTCATTCAGTAAGTACATTACAATTATTAGGGAAATAATTTCAACTAGATCAATGGGATAATTTGATAAATAAGCATAGCTTTAGGTATTCAAAAAGAAGGACCCAGTTTCCCACAGCTTTCTTAATAAAGCACAGTGGAAATGTAAATCTCTTTTCAGGTTTATTTACTGAAGAACTGTGTTCACAATTCTTACATAAACACTCTCTAGCAATTAAGATCCTCTCACTTCCCATGCCAGCCTGCTTCCTTAGACTGCATTGCCTGAACTCATTTATACTATGCTTACAGTGTGTTTACATATCTGTTCTCAATCACCTACCTGACACACGCCACTACTTTTCACTTACCTGTTGAGAGTTTTACTAGTATTGACTTACCTTTGGGTTATTCCTGCTGTGACACTTAACTAGATCACTGTTCAACTTGCACAATAATCTAGAGAAAGGTATCCCATACAATTCAGTTATTATCCTCCATGGAACATAGCTAGTGACTACCTGGAGATAACACTCTCCTTCTAGAAATACAACTATTTTTCAACTTTATGATAGATTTGAAATTATAAAATTGTGACATTATAGTGACCATTAGGGCATAATGGCTCAAACCATCCACAAGAATGCAAAGCATATAAACCATAAATTTCTACAAGAATCACTAGCTTATTTGTCTCTTGTGTTTTCTGCTGCAATTCTCCCTCCCTCCATGATAGGAGAATGTGTAATCATAAATCTGTGTTGGCTGCAGTGTCAAAGCAAGATTACACTAGGGGAAGAATCAAGTCCTTGCTCTATTGGAGCCGACAAAGACAATAGCATCAATCTGACCCTTTCATAACCTCTATCTCCTGGACACATTCTCTCATCTCTCATGGAAAGTGTGAGCAGATCCACCTATCATGTTTTTGCCCAATAAAGTGGCATGTGTTTGCAGAACATCTTGTTTTCCTCTTATTCATATTTTGACTTGGCATTTATTGCAGCAGTTGGGTGGAAAAAAAAAAAAAGCCACAGTCTGATTTGTCTGCAACAGACAGTCTAATTAAATTGAAGGGGAGGGACAGATGCACAAAGCTGCTGAACTGTTCATAATACAAAACATGGCAGCTTCAGTTTGAAAAAATCTAGCAAGATGTTGCCAACAATTTCTGCTCAGTGAACTAGCTGAAGTATGTAATTATGTTAAGTTCCCTTATTTTAATTCCAATTTCACATATATTGCTGATGCATCTGAAAAGAGCTTAGAGGACCATTATTTGGGCTGTGATAAAAGAATGATAGACACATGATTCACAAGTGCTGTATCTTTTTTTATGACTCAGATTTTTCAATATTAAAAGTGGTATTTTTACAAAATAAATATTTATGCATAGGTTTTTCTTCATGTTTAAAAAATTTTCCCTATATGATTCAAATCAACAGCAGCTCTTTGCTACTCAGGAATGGTATGTAATCAAGAGCACCTTCTGCTTCTGTAATATTGAAAACCTGAAACAAACCTTATGAACATGAGCTCTCTTGAGCAGAAACAAAGACTACTTGGATCTCCAGTGTTTTATAATCTGTACTTCCAGTGTAACATTTTTTTTTTTTTAAGTTGCTGTGAACATTCATTTAGCTACAGTGGAATGCAATGCTGATCTCATGCTCATCTGTTTCTCTTTTTCATTCCATCCTACCTCAAAAGTTATAAAGGCCACAGACAATACCAACTATTATTGTGAATGTTTACATATTTGTAGATAATGCAGGCTGCATACAAAGTCCACTTTTTCAGAATAATTTGCAAGCTTCACACTCTCATTTGAATGCAAAAAATTTTAAGAGTCAGTTGATGCAATAATCATCATTTAAAAACATTTGGGCCTCCCCGGTGGCGCAGCGGTTGAGCGCTGGGTTGCGAAGCTGCCCGCGGCCTCTGCGGTGCCGGTTCGATCCCTGGCTGCTCCCCGGCCACCGAAGGAGGGTCCCACATGGCGCGCAGACCTCTCCTGCCGCCCGCTGCTCCCCTCAGCAGTGTACTTCGGTCCTTCCGCCTGCTCTGCTCCCTGCTCTGGCTCTGGTGAATTCTCTCACCCTCCCGCGCTTCTGACTGTACCCAGTGCATGTATAAACAAAAACAAAACAAACAAACAAACAAATAAATAAAAAAAACATGCCTCTATTAAAAAAAAAATAAATAAAAAAATAAAAACATTTACTGAAAAGTTGAAACAACACAAAGATTTCTAATTGAAATAAACTCCAAATAGTGCCAAATTCTTCATAGAAGAGAAGATATTTATGTTTGTTTCATCTTCAACAAAATTAAGCTGAGAGTAACAAATAAAACAAAAAAATATGACCCATGATCAAGAAAGGCAAGAATCAACGAAGATCTCGTGAAAAAAAATATATACAACATGCATGAAGAAATGGAAGGTTCAACAAAGATGTGGAAGTTATAAAAAAAGGAAATATTGTAAATTATAAATATATCAAAATAATATGTGAGCAAATGCTTACAACACTTTAAGGTTGTTTTAATAGGCAATACAAAATATATCTCCAATAAATAAGAGGAAATAAGGCATATTGTGACGATTTACCTATAACTGTTATTCCTACACAATAAATCTTACACAGAACTATATGAAACCTAATTAGAGATGACAACCTTAACACAAGCCATAGCCCCCACTCCTTGAAAACATATTTAAAAAATCTTTTGAAAGAGGAATAAACCCAAGGAACAAAGAGTGAAACATGCTGGAAGCTACAACCAGATGGAAAAGTAACAACTGATTAAATACATTCAAGAAAACTGCATCTTGTTGAAACAAGGAAACTTGAGAATCCCTCATATGACCCAATGCTTACCAAAGAATCAATGACTCAGGAACCGGCAGTGTCAGTTCTTTTGAGTTGGAATAAAGGTAGTGGAATAACATCAGAAGATTAATTGAAAGATTATTTTTTTTTAATTTCTTTATTGTTATTGAAGTATCATTGTCCCACATTCTTGCTATTGTTTTGACAGTATAAGTTTTCACCTCTCAGGTGTAGACACTGTAACACTCCCACCCCAGAAGCACCCACCATCCTCCATCACAGTCCATTGTGGTCTCCCTCCACCCACTTTCTCATCACTATCTCTCCCCTCCAAAACCACAGATCTATGGTCAGCTTTTAAGGGTTGGTTTGAAAGTTTTTGTCTGATCCTTTGTTTGGTTTTTCTATCTTCCACCTATAAGTGACACCATCCAGTATTTATCTTTCTTCTTGAAAGCTTACTTAGATTTTCAGGTTACCTCCCTTCCTCTGTATTGCTAAGGATCTGCTCCTTCCCCAGCACACACACTCACACACACTGCCACTAGGGAGATGATGTCATTTATTTTTTTTTTTAATTTTTATTTTTTGAGATGATGGCTTTTATTAACAGGAAAGGGAAAATTAAAAATCTCTGCTCTAAATTGAAAACTAGAGTACCACACGAAATTGAAGGGACATTTAAATACTCTATGTATTATCTCACCAGGATTTCAGAACTGGAAGCCATAATTATGTCCTCCAAATGACTTGAAAGAGTTTTCCAAGTAGTCTGCCAGCTCAGGAAAAATGTATTGAAAGTAATGACATCAAGGATCTTCCTGATAAGCAACACTGCTAGATGATCGCATAGGAAAGCCCACATGTGCAGAGTACCCAATTAATTTTTAAGATTCTCTTTTAAATATGAGTCTACAAAGATGAACAAAAATTGAGGCACATCTCTGTTATGAAAGACAAAAGCCAAGACAAACAGAACCAAGTAACAGAGAAGAGAGACTACAAAAAGGGGGAAATAACATATATGCACAAAAGGAACATGTAAAAATCAAAGAAATAAGTCCTTGTAAAATAGATATGTGATATTAGAAACAAACAAATATTGATTGGATGAATGGAAGATAAAGTTAAAGAAATTTTCCATAATATAGAGCACTGAAAGAACAAATAAGAGAGGGAAAAAAATAAGCTATAAGATAGAGGACTAATACAGAGTTCTTAAAATTCAAATAATAGGTGTTTCAAAAAGAGACAACAGAGAAATAGAAAGGAAGGGAAATAAAAAGGCAAAAAAATTCAAGAAAATGTTCTAGAGCTTAAAGTCATACCTGGAACTCTGTGCAATGGATGAAAATAACCTCACCAAATAGGATTGTCTTATGTGGACACTTAGGGCAGAAACAAGTTTGGGGTCAACATCATAGAAAACAATGTCAACTTCCTTTCACAAGTGCTTCTGTATTGGTGCCCTATATGTGTGCACCTCAGGGGCCCCGGTCAGCAATCTATGCCACTATGGATTTTTTTTTTATTTACTTTTAAAAACTTCCAACTCAGTTTCTTTTCTTTTTTTAATTGATTTTTTTTATATTTTTTATAACATTGTTCACTTTTAAACAATATTTGCTTCTCCCCACACCCTCAGGTGTAGTCCCCATAGAGTTTCCTTCATCAATGCACCCATGCACCATCATCTCAGTCCCCTGTGCTCGTCCCTCCCTCCCTCTGATACTTCTCCAGCTTCCTCCCCTGCAGTATGTCTCTGGTTTATAATTGCCTGTTTTTGCTTTGTTGTGTTTTGTACGGTTATTATTTTTTTTACACTGATGTCTTATTGGGTTCCCCTATATTCCTGCTGTAAGTGAAACCATCCGATATTTTTCTTTTTCCTTCTGGCTTATTTCACTGAGCATAATTCCTTCTAGCTCCCATCCATGTTGCTGCAAATGGCATGAGTTTATCTTTTTTGATTGCTGAATAATATTCCATTGTGTATATATACCACATCTTCTTGATCCAGTCATCTATTTTTGGACATATGGATTGTTTCCAGGTTTTACCTACTGTAAACAGTGCTGCAATAAATATAGGTGTACAGGTAGTCTTTTGAATCAATGTTTTTATGTCCTTTGAGTAGATCCCTAGGAGTGGAATTGCTGGGTCATATGGTCGCTCCCACTCTGGGTTTTTAGAACACAGGATAAAGAGAAGATCCCATGATGTTTTTGGGTAGAGGAGGAGGCTTCACGTAAATGTACTGAATTTCTCAACTGCAACACTTAGAGCTCAAAATAAGCAAAGTCTTGAAAACGTGGAGGGAAAAATATTGTCCAACTTAGAATCTTATAAAAAGCCAAACAAGTAATAGAAGCAAACAAACAAATAAATGACAAAGATATTTTCGTTCCTGCAAGTTATCAACTGATGTATTTCCCAATGTGCTGCAGAAGCTCCTGGCCATCTGATCCTGCAAAATCAGGAAGAAAAACAGAAATGTGAAAACCATGAGACCCATGAAACTGCAGATATGAATTAAGAGACAGACAAAGAGAATTCTCAGTATGATTGCATGATAAGGTATTAACATAAAATTCATCAGATCTATGGATGAACTGAAGTGGATAGGAACAGGAAACTTCTGGAAAGTATTTCTTCAAAAATGTGAAATTGACAGAAAAAATGTGATAAAATGAAATAAGACTTTATAAAATTGGGGAACAAATTAGTGATAGATAAGTAATAGGTTTAGAAAACTAAGCAAACATTAAAAATAGCAGTTATTAACGTTAAGGGGAAAAAGCAAAATTATGAAAGTAATCAAAATATAGCACAGCATCGGTTAAGAAAGCAATCACAAATCATGCAAGTTAAATAATGTGACTATTAAATATTAATGTGTGAATCATGATGTAGGATTGTGGGACTGCTCTATTAACAAAGCCTATGAAAATTTCTCTCTTTAAACTGTGTTCAGAATACATGAAAAAAAACTGCAGAAAGTAGAATATCTACATTAAGTATAGTATGTGGAGTCTTCTAATTAGTAATTTGTTGTAAACTAGTGCTGATATCTATGGTAGCTGTCCATATGTACATGGACCACTTTCTCAGTTCTTAATGAACATTTGTGTTTTCTGCATCTACTTGCTGGTCAGTCAACATGCCTAATTCTTAGTACTAGTCCCTGGGATCTACAAAATGTACCCTCAGTCTGCCTAAATCTTTGGGCTCTATTTGAAAATGGACTTTCAGAAACCAGTGATGCCACCTAAATTGATTTCAAATGCCACCTCCACCTAAAAACTTGTAGTTCTTTGAATCCTATAATTAGGACAATGGCAATATCATTTCGTGGTTAAAATCTTTGGGGTGGTTTAGAATCTGCAAGTGGACTACCTGGATTCAAGTTACTACCTGGATTCAGTAGAAGTTACTACTTCTACTGCATTAGGGAGTTGGTTAACCAAACTGAACCCAGTTTGTTGATTTATAAAGTGGGAATAATAGCTACTACTACCTCAAAGGATTAAATGTTAGGTAAAACAATCTAAGTAATGAGTGTATTGAAGTACTTGGCATTTAGTAAGTTCAAAGGAAGTCTTAGCTATTATTTTTATCTTCTCAGCTGTAAGTTTAAAGGTTTATCATTCCCCCTAAACAATCCAGCTTCTTCAATAGCCTGGGACACTGAGTTTCCAGTATTCCCAACTGTCCAGCAACTTGGAACTTGGGATTTTTAGGCAAATGGGTCTACAGGGGCTTCCTGTCACCTTCCAGTCATTCCCCAAAATAAGTCTGCAAATTGGATTAAACAGCCAACTTCGATTACATAGGTGAAAATGGTTTCAACACCCTAAAACACCTTCTGTAAAAAAAAAAAAAAAATACAGGACCATGTTCAAGCATAGTGAAAACAAAATGAAATTCCAAAGTTATGATGTTAACTTTTTATTAGATATATTATGGTCCTACATAATATTCTGGAAAACCTGAAAGGAAAGTAAATATATAAAGAAAATGAAAATTAAAATATTGAACCAATCTGAGCAAAAGAGAAAGAATAAACATAAGATTTAAAGAATCAACAAAAGTTTTCTATCTATAAGGACAGCATAAATACACATAATTAAAAGTCACTAATAACCTAAAATGTGGCTGCAATTTCACTGTACCTTTCTTCTCAGAGTCCTCAAGTACCAAGCACCTGAAAATAATCTGAAATATCTTTGTTTTCTTTTTAACTTTAGTTTACCATTGTTTTTGTTTATAATAAGATGCTGAGAACAAGAAAAGAGGAACTATTTAAAGGAAATGGTGCTAAGGACCTAACAAACATAATTTTAATTTGTGTCAAGGTATCTCAGAGTATTTTTGCAACTAGATGCAATTATAATGCGTAAGATATACCAGTAAATGATGCATATGACATTTTAAACTTGAATCACAGTCTTTTGTTTAGCTATTAAACAGTTTGCTACTGTTTAATAAGAAAAGCCTTTATTTGGTGAAATAATGAGGAATAACATTTTTTTCTCCTCCACTCATGGTTTGGAATCCAAAAAGCAGACTGAGATACAAATGAAAAGGGTAGTTAGACTGCCATCTAGTACACATTTTTCTGTATAGCATAATTTCCAAAGCTGTTTGAATAACATTTCTAGCATTGAAACAAATATGTGCTTAAATATTATTGTTTTTTAATGTATAGAAAATTATATATGGACTGTATTTTTTTACTCTGACAAGTTCTTCTAAATATGAAATATGAGTGTTTCAACTTATTAGTACTTCATTCACTTTGTTAACTGCTATTGTCTCCATGAAGGACTAGGAGAAACCTGTCTCTCATCCAAAGGCCTTTTCAAGTACCTCTGTATGTCTTTCCTTAATACATCTCCTTCCAAGTTGCCCCAAATCCCAGCATGCAAGTCAAAGCCAGAAACGGAAGATTCCCCCAGAGCCCATCTGTCTTCTGTGCAATAGTTTGACCTGATCATGCATCTCCATCCCTAGTTGCCAGTAATTCCCATGCTCAGGAAGTCCTGTTTATGACACACTGGAGCCTGTGACTACATATAAGTGGGGGCAGGGAAAATGTCATCTCCCTTTTACAGAGGTGTGTCTAACAAACTGGCCCAGTAAGAGTATTGTAATGTACTAGGATTTTCTTCAAAAACCTCATTTGAAATATTAACCACTTATTTTCTTTCTCTTGAAAGTATACAAGGATTTGAGCCAGCAGTCTCCCAGGATTCAACATGCTTTGTAAATGTACTTGCCTTTTATAAGAAGGCACTGTTTCATTGGCACAAGAACAGTAATGCTCATGACTAACATTAATGGAAGTATTTCCATTACTGGTTGTACTATTCTGTGACCTGCCATCTATTTGTAAGCCTCCTGCCACTTGCCATATAGTCCTATAAAATATCTACTCTATTTTCAACCACCATGGCTGAAAGACACTGAAAACACCCCAATATTGCATCTGAAATGAGTAAAATAAAGCAATATTTTAGGATGTAGCTTTAACACTTTTAAAGTGGCATTAAAACTTGATAAGAAAATGTTCTCAATTGCCATGAGTTACAAATTGGTTAGAATCCCAAGGAAATTTAATAATAGAACAGAAACCCCAGGTCTCTCATTTATCCTTGAGGCTCTTACTGCAAAAGAAATGCTCTGCTTTGGTCCATGGTAAAAATTTGGCTAACCATGGACATGTATTTCAGGCTATTTAATTTGATTTAAACACACACATTTTAACTGAGGTCCCATTAGGCTCAAGAACAGACTTGAATCTCAAAAAACAAATAAATCATAGTATTTATCATGAGCAACTTATCATATGTTGATAGAAATTTCAGTTGGAAAAAACATTCAAAAGTTTGAAAGGTGAATTTACAATAGCCAAGATACGGAAATAACCCAAATGCCAAAAAATAAAAAATAAAAAGATAAGAGGGTAAAGAAGATGTGTACAAATACACAATAGAATATTACTGAACAAGGACCTTCCTGGTGGCGCAGGCAGTTCAGCACTGCACTGTGAAACTGTCCACAGCCTCTGCAGTGAGGGTTCGATCCCAGCTGGCAGGGGAGAAACCCATATGGCGCAGCAGATTTCTCCTGTCTCACCCACTGCTCCCCTCAGCAGTGTATTTCGTCAGTCTGCCCGTTCTGTTGCCCGCTCTATCTCTGGTGAATCCTCTCACCCTCTGCACATCTGGCCTGTACCCCGGTTCTTGTATAAATAAATAAATCTTTAAAAAAAAAAAAAAACCTCAACAATCAATAAAAGGTAGACTCATGTAGATAAAGCTAAGTGAAATGAGTCAGGAGAAAGTTAAATACCGTGCAGTATCACTAATACATGGAATATAGAGAAACCAAAATAAGAACCAGAGTTAACTCTCCACCTCTTGAAAACTGAATGTAACTGAGGCATCCAAAGCAGGAGGAGGAACATGAAAAAAGAGCACAGGGGGCGCAAAGGTGGTGGACTATGGATGGATTTGGTGGTGCCTAGCCTGTGGGAATGATACCTACTGGGGAGAACCCTAACATTATCATAATTAAGAGAATAAATTAAAATTTTATAAAAAAGGTTGAATAGTCAATCCTCCCTGATTATTTGTTCTAAGTTAGGTAATTACACAATTACACAACTGAAAATATTTCAACAATAGGAAAAAAGTTAGTTATTGTACATGCCAATTTAATACATGGTTCTCTGGTTTTGTTATAAATTGGACCACTTCAATATTAGTCAAAGAAAACAGTGTATTATAGGGCCTCCCCGGTGGCGTAGCAGTTGAGCGCTGGGTTGCGAAGCTATCCGCAGCCTCTGCAGTGCCGGTTCGATCCCCAGCCACCGGAGAGGGTCCCACATGGTGCGCAGGAACTCTCCTGCCACCCACTGCTCCCCTCAGCAGTGCACTTCGGTCCTTCTGCCTGCTCTACTCTCTGCTCTGGCTCTGGTAAATTCTCTCACCCTCCAGCGCTTCTGACTGTACCCAGTGCTTGTATAAATAAAAATAAATAAATAAATCTTTAAAAAAAAGTGTATTATGTTTAATTTAAAGATATAATAGTTTTACTCAATGGCAAAGTTTTGAATTATCAAACACCTTAAAATACTAATGAATGAGGGAATGAGATTAAACTTTTTTAGTAATCTCTGCATTGTAGTGGACTAGTATTAAAACAACTGACAAAATCATAACTGCAATAATTTTAAGATAACTTAAGAATATTTGACAAGTTATTCATTTCATTCCTCTGTGTATTAGGTTTCTTTTCAATAATGTTTTATCTATTGTCAGAATATTTAATTTTGAAAGACAAGTTCAAGTTAGCAACTCTATTCTGTTGCCAGATTTGAGGTAAATCCATTTTAACCTACAGCAATGGTCATCAACAACTTTCATTCAGTCATACTTCACCTCAAGACTTATTTTAATGGAA